TGCAAGAGCAATGCCACTCGCAACATGGCCTCTGGGACAGGCCCTGCGCATGGCTTAATGTTCTACTGTTGCCGTCTCAAAATTCCTCATTTTTTACAAGGAACCGTGCTTTTCATTCTGCACTGGGCTCCACAAGCTGTGCAGCCAGTTGGCTCCCACTTTTTGTTTGTACTTTTCCTTGAATTTTCAAACTGGAGCATCCCACTTGGACTTGACTTCAACTTTGTTACAGATAACTGTTTTCATGAGCTATTTACACCCACGTGACTTGGCTTGGCTGTCCCAGATTCTCAAAACTTGACATTTACTCACCGAGCAGGCATTTCTTCACCTCGCCCCTGACACGTGCTCCAACCTGCAAACCAAACTGTGCTCGTGTGACTGTCAGCGCCCAAGGAAAAGCAAGCACAGATGTCGCTAGTGGATCAATGGAGGAAGGACGGGCCAAGGTGATTTCAACCTCAGCGGGTTGTGAAAATCAGAGCCCTCACTAAAACTCTGCTCTAGACCCTTAACCTTGTTCTCCTTCGTTCACAATAAAGTGTGCGCCTTCCAGACATGCACACACCGGAGCGTGCACACAGGGACAGCACGTGGCCTGAGGAAAACTTGCAGCTCCAGGGGCCCGCTAGGTCCTTGGTCCCACAGGTTACATCAGAGACAGTCTGGTCCTGCTGGTGCTGTCCACACACAGGGTTCTTCACAGAGGAAGAACATCAGGTAAGAACACGTATCCTGAAGGCCACGCAGTTACTAACCACTGTGTAGCAGGCGACCGCAGAGAAAAACGTTCTTGACACAGTATAGGATAGAAGCACGTTAAAAAGATACACAAAGTATGATCAGTGTATTTTGTTTGTGAAAATGTACATATAGATGGAGGCCTGCCTATTACCGTGGGGAGCAAGGCTGTATTTGAGCCCAATGGCTATCTCACTCTGCAAAAACCCATCCTCTCCTCCACACAGTCTGCTCCTGGACGAAGGGGTGGCCGGGCTCAGGCCTCCGGTCCAGTCCGCTGCAGCTCTCACAGGCCCCCTGGTGGTCAGGGCAGCCCTGGCCACTCATCCACGGACCAAGCCTCAAAAGCAAACTGGCTCCTGCTGGCTTCATGGTTCTCACGCAAAACGTTAACGTTATGCTCACTTGGCATGAACCAAGGGAAGAAAATGACACTTTCCTAAAGACATGGACATGGATAGTGGTTGTAAATGCCGTACAACCAGGAATTTTTTAAAATTAAGACTTTTTAGAGCAGTTTAAGGTTTACAGCAAAATTAACAGGAAGGTAGAGTTCTCTCTCATATACCCCGGCCCCCAGGTGCACAGCCTCCCCTACTGTCAACATCCCCAGCGGACTGGGGCGTTGGCGACACTGAAGAAGCTGCAGGGACACCGGGATGACTACCTGTTCACACTGGGTGCTATCGACCACTCCAGTGTCGGACAGAGTAGTCTCCCTGCCCCCAAAGTCCTCTGTGCTCTCTCCCTCCCTCTCCTCAACCCATCTTTTTCCTGCCCCCAGTTCTGCCTTTTCCAGACCGTCACGGAGCTGGGATCACAGTGGGCAGCCTTTTCAGGTTGGCTCCTGTCACTTAGTCGCGCACTGAAGGCTCCTCATGTCTTCTCATGGCCTGACCACACATTTCTTTTCTGGGCAGAATAATACTCCAATGTCTGCACATACCATAGTTAGTATTTACCCATCACTTACTGAAGAACGTCTTGGTTGCTTCCAAGTTTTGGCAATAATGAATAAAGCTGCTATAAACACGCCAATTTCTGGGTGAACGTCAGTTTTCAGCTCCTTTGGGTAAATATCAATGACTGTGATTGCTGGATCGTATGCTCAGAGTTAAGTTTGGTTTAAAAGAAACCACCAAATCATCTTCCAAAGTGGCTCTACTGTTTTTGCAGCCCCACCAGCGATGAATGAGAGGCCATTATTCTTTTAAATCCTCACCCGAGGATGTTTTTCCATTGATTTTTAGGGAGTGGAAGAGAGAGGGAAAGACAGAGAGAAACATGCATGTGAGAGAAACACATCGACTGGTTGCCTCCTGCAGGAGCCCTGACCAGGGCCCGGGCCAGGGCGGAGCCTGCGACCGAGGTCCATGCCCTTGACCAGAATCAAACCCCGGGGCCTTCGGTCCCCAGGCAGACAGTCTATCCGCTGAGCCAACCCGGCTAGGGCAGTGGTCGGCAAACTGCGGCTCGCGAGCCACATGCGGCTCTTTGGCCCCTTGAGTGTGGCTCTTCCACAAAATACCGACTTCTGCGCATGGGCCACGAAGTTCAATCGCACTGTATGTCGTGCCCGCACGTGGTACTTTGTGGAAGAGCCACACTCAAGGGGCCAAAGAGCCGCATGTGGCTCACGAGCCGCAGTTTGCCGACCCCTGGGCTAGGCCAATGAGAGGCTATTTTTTAAAACATTATTTCTGAGCTACTCGTTGTAAGACTCTTTCCCACTCGAGGGAGAAGGGTGCTTTTACATGGCACCGTGGACGCCACCAGCAGCGCCGCCGCTCCCAGCCTCTCCCAGCCCTCACTCGTGCGCCAGGCTGCGTGCGGCTCCCGTGTGGCAGGGAGGCTGTGGAGAGCAGGCGGTGACCACCCAGGATCTGAGTTTCGCACAGGTGTTGGAAAACACGGAGGGATCCAGCATAATTAAGAGCATTAAGCAATCATCTCAGCCAAGGAGGAGCTGAGGGAAGAAGAGCAGTTTGGGCAGCGCTTTGGGAAATAAATCCCGCAGCCTTTCACCAAGTGGAAATCTTGGCTGTGGACACACGTAACAATGAGCCTGGCCCGGTCTGCGCTCCGCGTGGACATCAGCCAGATCACCACGTTGACCCAATTGGCCTGCCTTACACAGAGAAGCCACGGCGGGGACAGCAGGGGGCATTGCTGTAAGAGCCAACGGGCAGCGGGCAGGGGCTGGCAGCACGCGCTGGTGCCGCCAGCTGGGAGTCTGCCTGGAGAGTCCTGCTTACAGTGCATTTTAAAATAATACCCGGTGGCCTTCGATCTGATTTTCTTCTTCTACAGACTGCAGTCACTCTCTCTGCACGTCCTATGAAGCACAGCTACCCCTGCCTTTCTCTGTCCCTCCGAGCTGGTGTGTGTGTGGGGGGGGGGGGGGATGCCTCCACCCGGGAGCCCGCCCTCAGCCACACCGAGGTAGTGGCAGTGTTTCACGAGGCTTTGGGAACCTAGAAAAAATGCCGTTACAGGTATTACTTCTCTCTAAGTAACCGCTACTAAGCATCACTTTATTTGTTCTGAGAAACTCAATTTAAAAATGAAAGCCACTGTTTATGGCCACGCCGCGTCTCGTGGTCCTGACACGCGGTCTCCTACATGAGCGCCGTCCCAGCATCCGCTCCTTCCACTCTCCTCCGGCCCCAGCGAAACGCTGTCCACCTGCAGACTCATTTTGTCCAGCATCTCCAGTCATGTACGCCATTTCCTGGGGATCTGACACTCCTAATAAAACAGCAGCACAAATATCCAAGTTGTCTAGGAGGGAAAAAGTTTTCCAACCTTCCCTGTCTGTTCAAGGTAAACATTTCTACGCCCGGGTCTGTCAGCCACGCTAACATGCCTTATCTTTCCTCTTAAAATACAAGATTTTCGTTTTACTCCGCAATGAGCCTGACTAAATGGAAATTCTGTGCATCAGAATTAAATATGTTCTATCTGCTCAAAATGCACACTGTGCTACTTATCACTAACTTAATGACAAGCGCCTGGTTCGCTGTGCGCGGACGCTGCCAGCCTCTGCCTGCACGGAGCCCAGGTCACCGCTCAGGCGGAGTGCCAGGCGGGCGCGGGCGGGCGTTCCATCGCTGCGAGCGGAGCCGCGCTATTGTAAACACATTCCGATTTTCATCGAAGTATATCTTTATGTATATGGCTTCCTTACTGCAAAGATGCCAGTCCTTTAACACACACAGCCATCACTTTCTGCACTGAAGAGCAAGGCACTGCACCACAGCAAGGACCCAGAAGTAGCGCTGTTAATTAAACATCGCCTTCCACTTGCTACCCTGCGTACCGGCTGTGAGGTTCGAAGCCAAGTCTGCGCATGAGAAAGAAAACGGCTAGGCTCCTTCAAATGAATGCATTGCCTGTTTTGTTTTGTTTTTCTTAAATGTAAGAGATCAGCCACTTGCTATATTATTTTTTAAAATCAAATTCCCTAGTAAATGTTTGCTTTTGTTTAAAGTGCCCCTGCCCTCACCGCCCCCCCCCCCACACACACACACACAAAACCCACTGGTAAATGAGCAAGTTGTGAAGTTTGAGTCAGGACTGGTAATTTCATATTAACCCTAAAGTTTCAATATATGGTACTGCAGGAGGCGCTGGGTGTTAAGTTCGGATATAAAGAACTTGTCTTGAGTTAATATGCAGCACTTCCAAAGGTTCATATGGAAAAATGAATCAACTACAGCTAAAATGTATCCACATGGGTGAATTTCACTAACTATTGACCCCAAAAGAGCAAGTTATTAAAGAACATATACAGTAGGGTACCATCACTATACCGGTAAGTCCTCCACATGCAAAAGAAACCCTCTATTTGGGGGAATCCATGCATGTATATTAAGAACCTAAAGAATCCCGGATGACAACAGCCAGCAGAGAGAGAGCAGAGGTGGCCTCGGGGCGTGGCCGGGGGAGAGGGGGGGGGGGGCTCCTGACACGAGTGCAGGGCAAGTGCTCACTGAGCTGTCCTTCGCTCCTTTTGGTGGGACAGGTTCCATAATAAAAATGGGAAGATAAAAACACAGTTTTAAGATAAATAGCTTTGTAAATATCTGCCAGATTTCTCTCCTCAAAAGTTGCTCTCAACTCAGAGATCAAAGAGCTTGAGGCCAAGGCATCACATTTTCTTCAGCAGCTGCTCTGGTTACGAGACTAACCCTGCTTCCCCGTATAGAGCCCATTTCCAACGTGCTCATTTCTCCCTCAAAGAATGTTCAACCCCCCCCACCCCCCACCTCCCACCCCCGGCCACTCTCCCTATGAAAAGGCATGTCTGAGAGAGATGCTCTCCAGTTAGGAAAAGGGACTGTCCTGCTGCCAGATAGAAACAAGCAAACAAAACCACACAGAAAGGAAATCACTCTTTAAGTATCTTTTTAATTTTGAGTTGACGCGAATACAGGCACAGGAAGGAGCTGGAAGCATACCTTCTGTGTGATTCTGGAACAAAGGAGTGCAAGAGAAAGGTCAATTTTTGACAGATGGGGAGCTTATTCCACCACGCCCACCCTCCCCGCCCCGCCGGGAGTGGGGAACCTGGAGCCGCAGTTGCCAGAAGGACTTGGAGACAAAAGGGAGAAGCCCTGTAGGCGGCAAGGATGCCGACTTGCTTCTACAAGTAAAGAATTTGTTGTGAGCTCACCACAGTTACAGCCGCGCTTACGGTCCACACGCGCCCACTGCTACAAAGCCATCATTTAGAAATTAGACGAGCACGTTTCGGCAGCCGAACCTTCCGACGCCGGAGAAGGCATGCGAAGCAGCAGGTCTGCGGAGGCCAGGCAGGAGCCCGCCACCGAGCAGTTTCCTACTAACAGACTGTTTTCTCCGAGATTATTTGCAGTAGCACATGGACAGCGGTATTTTTTTAGGAAGCCCTACCCGTTCTCAGAGTCCAACTAGCTTCTTTCCAAATAATTAAACGCAGCCAATTTTATATTAGAAAATGTCTACAATACATCACTAAAAAGGGTCTGACGTTGATTCCCTAGTGATAAATCAGTTAATTACTTAACCTTTCTTAATGAAATGATTAGCATCCTTCGGACAAACAAGGCACCGGACTCAGCGCCTGCTGCAGGCGCCGCATCTAGGGCCAGGGCCAGCGCCGAGACTCCGGTCCGTTCCATCCATCTTCGATAGAAACCCTTTATTCAAGGACACCGACACCCTAGTTTTAAACTTGACCACCAGAGATTATTTTTAAAAGTGCTCAGGGCTGAGCAGAAATAAATGAACTTTGTATTATAGGAATATTACAAATGCCACCCAAACCTAGAGCCACGGCAACTGAAGTTCTAGACCTAAAAACCACTGACCCCTTTTGGAGCCATTAAATCAAGCCACACCCAAAGACAAAGACCTTTTTAAAAATGTAGGTGAGGGCATTTTGGACAAATGCTTTATCACTGGGTTACTTCAAAAGGCACGTTACTAATACAGACGAAAAAGTCTGTACAACTTTTGTTAAATAACTCTTTTGATCTTAGTGGTTAGATCTTTAGCTAAAGCTCTGAATATTTAAACAAGCCTTCCTTGCAATTTATCCACCTTCATCTCGTAATCTTGTTGGATGCATTCTTTCTAGGGTTCTGCTTTCTTTACTTGTGTGGCACTGCTGGCTAAGCTATTTCCATCAATGTTCCTGCAGGCCCCATCATATACAACGATAGTGAATTTCCCAAGATGCCTAGGAAAATTCAAATACTTGGGCCAGCAGGGTTAGTCTAATGAGTAAACAGTTCAGATCTTAAAATTAAGATGAAATACTCAGAGAAAAAGCAATTCCCAAAAGCCATTCGACACTAATTGGTAACTGCGACAGGACAACACCCACTGGAAACGAGAACACAAGCCAGGAAATGCCTGGTATTGGTGACAACCGCCGATGCCCCAAGCTGCCCGCCCTCGGCAGTGCCAGGCCCTCGGCAGCGCCAGGCCGGCTGCATCTGCTGGTGGCTCTCTCTCCAGGTGCTTCACTCTCGACAGGGAGCCCTCCTCCTCTCAGGTTTCTGAGGTCCCAGCAGTGAGGCCAGACCCTTCGGAAGGCTTTCCCAACTCTGACCATGGAGGAGTCCAGTCCCCCCCTTAGGTGGGCGTAGAACCATGTGGGGCTGGTTCAAATGCAAAGGCACCCAGCCCATCCAGCCCATCAGCAGCAACGTGACCCCCTGGAGCCTCAGTGCTTGCTTACACGTTAAAACCACAGGTTTGGGCCCGGCCGGCGTGGCTCAGTGGTTGAGCATCGACGTATGAACCAGGTAGGTGATCAAGGTTGGATTCCAGGTCAGGGCACATGCCCAGGTTTTAGGCTCAATCCCCAGTGTGGGGTGTGCAGGAAGTAGCCAATTAGTGATTCTCAGCATTGATGTCTCTCTCTCTCTCCCTTCCTCTCTTAACCCAATAAAAAAAATATTAAAAAATGAAACCACAGGATTTGATTCCCAATAGAAAGTCAAGCACATTACATATAATACAGACCTCAACATAAGACAAAGAATCAATCAGTAAAATCTAGGTGAGGACAAAGATTTCAGTTCCAGAATCTCTAGCAGCATGAAGCACGTGGTCCATGGGTCTCTGCTTAGTGTGCGTCAGAATCATCAGGGGAAGTTTGCTAAACAATGCGTATTCTCACATCAGTCAGCAAAAATTCTGATCCAAGAATCCAAGAATCTGTATTTTAATAAATCTCCTGACATTTGAAACACAAACACACACAATGATCTGGAAGCAGGTGAGCAAGGGACCTCCCTTTGCTGAAGTAGGACCAAGTGCCAAGATGCCTCCATTTCACACCCGGGACAGGACCATCGTTGCTTCTGGGCTCACCTGCCCTCGGAGAGGAGGAGGCCCACCCCACTGATCCCACCTCAGAGGAGCAGCCCTGGGACAGGAGAGCAGAGAGCAACTCCAGCAGAGCTCCCAGCACTCTGCCCCCGAGAGCTGTGGTCCACATCCGGACAGCACCGAGGGCACCTTGAAAACTATGGGTAACAACACAGCACCTGTGCCTTGAGGTCACCAAGCTCCAAGAACAGACCTGCAACCACCACCCTAATCCACAGACAGCGAACCTGGGGCAGAGAAAGTCACATGACGAATCAACTGCTAAGCTGGAAGGAAAAGAAACTTCAAGAATTCAGGTTTTGAGTTTCATACTAGAATTATTATTAGTGTCCCGGTTAATAAAGCTGATCACAGAATTAGCTAAAAATCAGAGAATCTGGCAAAACGTGGATGTCACCCTGTCTGATTACTATTAAATATGTATGTACCCAAATACTAAATTCAGAAAAAAACCTTGGTCCTATCCTAAGTGATCTATTCTACCTAATATAAACACAGACCAATAATGCTCAGACCCATCTCTTCCCCTCAGTGAGCTGTCCTCTAACCCCCTCGCTTCTTCGCTTCTGATACCTCCAAACCGCTGAACTGAAACAGAATGACCGAGCCTCCCAGTCAGGGCCCCTCCCTGCCGGTCAGCTGTTTGTCTGAACAGCCACAGGAGAGGAATACACCCATCAGAGCGACCCTGCATGGAGAGAGCTAAACAGTAAACAAGACACTTGAACACAATTTTCTATGTATCCATGTTCCTTTTCAAAAGAAAACTATTTTATTAAAAATGTGATTTGGAAAGAAAGTGCAATTAGCTTTGCACAGGCACTGCCGAGATGTTCCCGGACACGGCCGACATATGTAAATATTTC